GTCTCAAGACATCCCGACAAAGCAACGGTTGGTGTGTGCGGCCCCGACAACTGCAAGTCGGCACCCTGCAGGAGGCCGTTTTATCTCTGGTTTCAGAATTCCCCTTCCTCAACTGTCAGAGACCCCACTCTGTACAGAGCGATATGAATTTAAGTGGATCAACCAGTAGTCCTCTGACTTTCGTCTCCTGCTGTTTTTTCTTGACCTTGTCCATCTTCTCGCTTGGGACGAGTATGAGGGCTGACTCACGGGACACATCACGCCATCTCTCCCGCAAGACCCATCGGCTGTCGAAGAGTTCTCTGCCTGCTGCATCCATGGCACGGGCAAGGGTGCAAGCCAGTGGTAGTCGGGCTTCCCCGGAGTATTTGTGCACCAGGACCTCCATGGAATCGCACAATTTGCGTCGAAGATGCAGTCGTGGTTTAACCAAGAGGCCGACCTTGACACAGTGAGCCGACCAGACCTGGGAGCCCAGAAATCCTCCGAGAAGCCTCGAAGCGCAGACCATGCTCGTCAAAGCTTCGTCGTTGGGAGGGAAGACAAAGTCTTTTTCAGCAGTAACATGAGGCACGTACCAAACCAACTTCTTGGCACGAAGACCTGCTTCAAAGTCCGCAACTGAGTTAGACCAGGGCAAGACCTTGGCGCCTAGTCGCTGGATCTCTGCTGCTTTCCCGAGTTTCGGATCAACAAAGACCACAGTGCTGTCAAGGTTGAGGGCGGCTTGGTTCGCCATGTCCAAGCCATATCCTTGTGTGCGGAAGTTGTCGAAGACCTGTCGCAACTGATCTCGCTGGTCGGCCGCCTCCTTATACTTCTTGGCAGCTTCCTCGTGGTACCCACGAACATCATGGGAAAAGGCCTTCTGCAAAGTCTTCGTGACTCTGGCATACTCCTGTTCAAGCTTCACGTGTTTAGCAGACGCCTTTGTGGCGGATGACGAGGCCGTGGCCGCATCATGGAGACCTTGGAGATCCTCCAGACCTGTCTGAGGCAGCAGGTCCCGAACTTGAGCTTGCCGTTTTCGTTTCAGGGAGGCCTTCGTTTCCTTCCCCATGTTGACGTCGGTATTAGCATCTGGCAGGTCGCTGGAGACCAGGAGCTTTGGGATCACTCGTTTTGGCAAATCCTGATTCTTGTGGTTTCCTCGAAGACCAAACAGTTCCAGGTACTTTTTCTGTGTCAGGATCGCGTCCTGTGACGGCTGAAGGACTGCAGCACTGGAGACCTCGGCTTGGGGATCCGCGACAAATCTGGATGGCTCGAGACCATCAAGTCTGACCTTGACCATAGACCTGGGGGCTCAAAAGCAAGCAGAGCTGGATCTACACTCTTAAATAAAACTTATGGACAGCCAATGAATTTCAGAAGACCCTGCCTGATGTGCTGCAGCGAAGTCGAGGCCTTACGGCCGACCGTATACATTTGCACAAAGGAAAAGTTCTGTTCCACTTCGCCAGTGCCGGGGAACGAGACCAACAGAAGCTGAACCTGAGATCATGAGAAGAACCCAAAAATTAAAAAGACCAAAGCTCAGCTCAAGCAGACAAGCAACTGCTTTGTATAATGTGGGGAGCTTGAGACCCCAGTGCTTGGCCGAGACCCTCCAAAGCTCGTGGATGTCCGTGATTCCTCGCCTCAGCTGCACCGTGCGAGACCAGTCTAGATGACGGCATGTGCTGTGCATGAATCGCGAGGAAAGTGCTTCGCGACCACTTTCGTGGTCGGGCGGGCAATCAGGAACTCCTTGTGCAGCTTTGAGACCTGCGAGGCACTTTGTGTGGATGCTCGCTCACAAAACCTTGGTCTGGCCTCCAAGCCCGCCATGGAAGCCAAGGGCGACATGACCTCGGGCCTTGACCGGCTAGGCTTGCAGGTTTCGGGTTAGACTCGCGAGACCGACTGGCTGCCCGACAGTGTGTCATCAGAGTTGTGCGCCATCCAATGGTCCACGTCGAAAGGCTGTAAAGACCGAATGAAGTCGTGATCATGCGCAGCGACCCCGGCCAAGGTATTGTCCAGGACAGACTGGATGACACCGAGCTGCTTTGCCACGATACCTCTAAGGTGGTGCTCATCACGGGCTCCGGCGTGGTAAAAGACCAGCTCCTGATCACGTACCACCGCCTCGACAGTCAACAGACCGCTATCATGCGAAGCCTTCTCACGAAGCTGCCCGACAGACCCCGCCCTGCCTTTGAAACACACATGTCATAACCACTCTTTAGCAGCTGAAGGAAGCCGGCAGAGTAGGAGTCCGAAAGAGCCAGTGGCTCTTGCTGCTCCCCAGTGAGCGACGTGAAGCTGAAAACCTTGTTGGCGTGATACCTCAGCTCGTAGACCGCGGCCGCCTTGTTCGCAGCATGCGAGAGACCTCCACGAACCTTGTTGTCGAAGGCATGCACATAGGTGCTGCACAGGGAGGCCAACTCGGCCACCATTGCCAGGAGGATCAAGTTCTCCAAATGCAGGAGCTGCAAAAGCTGAGCAGACCACTTTGTTAGGTGGGGCATGGACAGGTGGACCTCGGTAAGAGTTGTAAGAACGGCTTCGATGTTTAAGACCAGACATTGTGCAACATCCACGATGGTGTTGTACCTCTGCGCAGCAAAGTTCAGCTGCGCGGACTTCAAGACACTGTCCGTGGAGGACACATTGTCCGCAAAAACCTTTGAGAGACGACAGCTGTTGGTCAAAGCTCGTGCGAAACCTCCGGGTTCGCCTTTTTTTTTGGCATAAGCGAATATTAGACCTTGCACCAAATCGTTCACGGGGTCGCAGGCCTCCACTGCTCGTTCCAGACTCTTCTGTCCAACGTGCATAGAACACCGCACGATGCCCTTGAGATTGTCGAAGCCGCTGGCTCGCACAAAACGAGCAGAGAGACCTTCGGCGGGTTCTCCGTCTGAGAAGAAGACCTGGCTATAAGGTTAAAGGACAGTGTTGAAAAGTCGAGACTCAGTCACAGGACAAGCCTGGAGCTTGGATTCGAACTCGCGCTGGATAGCGGTGTCACCAGCTGCAAATCTGTTGATGCAGCCACGAAGCTGCTCGCATTTGCTCAATGCGTCCTGAATCAGGCCGCTCAGTACTACTAACCCATTGCGATTAAGTAAAGCCGGGCCTTGCAGCCACGCGTGTCACACAGATCCAAGACCAAACTGTGCACCTCCAGGTCGTTCGTAACATACCGACAGCGAACCAGCTCGAGACCATCTCGAACATCCTGACACATTAGCTTTGCCAAAATCATGCGAAGTATGAGGGCTGCAGTTTTGAAGCTGGTCCTGCGCAATGGCGACACCGCTCACCTTGCCCTTCTTGAAGACCTCCCGCTCTCGATTGAACAAGACTTCCGCATAGGCCCTCAAGATATTGTAATGCACCGACTTGTCGCAATGATGCAGCGGGACGAGAGCTGGATTGAGCCTCCCAAAGGCGGACTAACCATTCCTCTATCAAACTGACATTACCGCTCGGAACAAACCTGAACACGCTCCAGCCTCCGTTGATTCTCGCATCGCTTGGCGAACTCCAGACCTTGTCTCCCAAGTGGCGAATGCAAGACCTCAAGGCAAATCTTCAGCTGCAGCATAGACAGACCACGTTCGTGCAGAGACCGAGGGCCAGATTGCTGGGGCAGGTAGGAGACCATGTCCTCTGCCGAAAGAGACCCCTGCAGGTGCCACTGCAAGGCCTTTTCGTGGAAGGTGCACCGCTGCTTAGACCGTCTGGCGATATTGCCATGTCTGAGAAGGTCTTCCAACTGGCAGACCGGCAGTGTGGAGGCCTCAGGCCTCGGATGATGGTTCAGGGTTTAGGGTTTGACTCAAGTGCAAGTGCAACTTGCTGCCATCAAATCAAGACTAGGCACGAGGCTGCCAGACCCCTGGTGCCCAAGACCATGCTCGAGACCTTTTTGACCTGATCGGGAAAGGCCTTGGCGTATGCGGCACAGAGGATGCACTGGAGACCGCCCCCCGCGATCTTCTTCAGGTAGGTCTTGTAGAGACCTTAGAGGGCAAGCTCCGAAATCAGGAAGTCACGGCAACTAAACCCTACACCCGAAACCTTAGACCCTAAAGTCAGAGTCAAGCTGCCGTCGGCGTCCAGGTACACACATCTCTGAGACCATTGATCGCCATGCTTAGACCAGGCACACTCCAAACATTTGCATTTTTTGCCATGCGCATGAACGGCCATGGCTCTAGACCCCTAACGTGCGAGACCTCTGATGCACTCCGTCTTAGGTTTGAAAGTAGTCGCCCTGATTGCTTGGACATCTGAGTGACTACCCCGTCAGCCTGAAAGCAGGCTTATCTGCGAAGCGGTTCGGCTGCTGGGGCTCAGCCACCTAGACCATAGTAGTCTAGCATTGCTCGCACAACGTCTTTCGACCTAGACTTACTCATGGCGACTTAGCTGCTCTCATCGAATTCGGGACGAGCTCCAGGCCTCGGGAATTTACTGAGCTGTGTTTGTAAGATGCTTTTGGAAGGGGCTGAAGGCCTGAAATCATGGACTTAAAAACACAACTCACACCTGAGACTTCGTGCTGCGGGCGCCAGAGGTTGTCAGCAGAAGCAGGCCCGCCAAAGACAAACGCTTGCACTGTTTTCTAATTTCTGAGATGCCCGCACCGATCGCACCTTCTGAAAGGTGCTGGCTTTGATCATAAGGCCTCAGGAAGCAGACAAGTACAGTGGAGCACCGTGGCTAAACAGTGTCTAAGGCCGTCGCGGCCGTGGCAGACCTGCCGCACAGTCTCGAGAAGATCCGGCTGACGAACGAATACCCAAGGACTCCGGCCTGGACTGTCATGGAAGCCCAGCAGCTCCGGGACCTTCGCAGGATGATTGACGGCTCAATTGCGAAGCAAAAGGTTAAGACGTAACCAGCCTGCAAACAAGGACAAGCTGGCCTTCGCTGACTCATCTCTGCATCCAGACCTGGCTTTCCAAACACAAGGTCTGTTCCTGCACATACCGCTCACATCAGATCGAGAGCTCTTTTGTACCGCACACCGCGAAGTCTGCAGCATATGATGTGCTATTCCCTGCTCGTGCTGCGCCTCAATTTANNTGATCGCATCAGAGAAATACGCGAGACCAGAGGAGGCGACAACACAGAACATCTCTGATTCGGCAGTGCGGCGGTCGACTCGCCCTGAAGTGAATTATCTTCATTTGACGTACCCTTAGTCTTAGTCATGATTAACTAAGAGACGAGGCCAGGCGATCGACCAGCAAAATGTGCAATTCCAGACCCTTCCGCGGCCACTCACTGGAAACCGACTCCAGCATCAGTCGTCTGAGTAGACCCTTCCTGGCCCGCCGGCTGAGTAGACCCATCCTGGCCTCCGCCTTGCTGCTCCGCACCACCCCAATTTTGCCAATCTTGGTTTTGCCAACCTTGGTTTTGCCAATCTTGGTTGTGCCAAGACCCGTTGCCCCAACCTCCTTGGTCGTTGCCCCAACCTCCTTGGTAAGACCAACCTCCGTGCTGGTACTGGTTGTTGTCCCATCCGTGCTGGTCGTTGTTCCCACCTTCAAAGGCCCAACCTCCCTGCTGGTGGTCCCAACGCCAGCCATGCTGAGACCAGTCATAGCCGTCATTGGCATAGGTCTCCTGAAAACAGAGAAGCATAATTTATGCACATCCACATAGACACAATCACACACGAGTCTCCTGCGGCGGGTCCGAGACCTCCTGGGGCGGGACAGGGGCGGGCTCGGGCTCAGGAAGACCGTCACCGGCACGAGAAGCGCTGTCAGGCTGGTACGGCAAGACCTGCACCACCGGATCGAATGCGACGTGTCTGGGGACTGGGTACCTCGGCCCCGTGAAGGCCTCAGGCTCAGCCACAGGCGGCGAAACCACATCCGGCTGCTGTGTGTGGGCTGGTTCAGGCTCAGGCGGGGTCGTAGGGGAGACCCTGGCCGGCTGCTCAGGCTGAGGTGGGGTCTCAGGGGAGACCGGGGCCGGGGTGCTGTCCGAGGCCGGCTGGGTGTGGCGTTGGTCCGAGGCCCCCTGCGTGTCATGGTCGTGTTTTCTTTGCGATTCAAACAGCAACGAGGCCTCGTATGCTTCATTGGCTGAGAGACCCCCGGAGCCACCGGCCTGGGCACTGCGGGGGATTTCGGTCGTTTTGGGCTCCCCAAAAGACCGTGAGTGGTATCTGGGCTCTTCGACAGTGGGTTTGAGACCAGTACCATATTTCTCCTGCCACTTGTCCCTGTAGCCTGTCCTGCACTGCTTTAGGCCTCCCCATCCGAGACCTACATACGCAGCGTCTTGG